AACTAAAATTCATTTGCAAATTCAACACCATTAATCTGGGCTTGAATAGGGACTGGGAGAGGCTGGCTCATTACAGAAGCAGCTTTTCCTCTCCTGGAATTGACACCTCCTCATCTATTACTGGGAGTGGACTACATCCACCCTGATTGAATTGGCACTGTCAACACTGGTTCTCCACTTGTGAAGTAACTCCCTGCTCTCCATGTGTCAGTATATAATGCCTGCATCTGTAACTTTCACTCTATGCATCCGAAAAAGTGAGGTTTTTACTCACGAAAGCTTATGCCCAAATAAATCTGTTAGTCTTTAAGGTGCCACCAGACTCCTTGTTGTTTTGGTAGATACAGACTAACAGGGCTACCCCCTGATTCTTGATCTAAACTGTATTATAAGTACCTGTTAACAGGGACCTTGTCTTGGTTCTCTTTGTAATGAGCCATGAACATCTATAATTCTATATGCAATCATTAGTTGGTAATAATAATTAACAATGCTAAATAGACAATAGGTACACATTAGTTTGGTTTAACTCCTATTTAACAGTCGATGGATGCTATTGCTCTTTACAAGTACCTAGAAAGGAATAGACCAGGATGTTGGTATTTAAAGAAAACAATCTGCATACGTTCTGATTGAGTGTCCTTTTGTATGTGTATGCACAAGAGAGACAATCTCCTGCCCACAAATACAGATACAAAGAAGCTGGGCGCTGCTTGCCTGCACTTCTCTAAACAGCCTATTCTGTTATTTGACTGCTTCCCTAATTTGAATGTGCCCAGTTCTTTTTCAAACCATGCATCCCTTCGCCAATCAAAAGTAAACATCCAGCTGGTGGCCTCTACTTGCCATACACAATCAGGGCTGACCTTCAGGGTGGGTGATGTGGGTGACTGCCCAGGGCACCATGGGCAGGGGGGCGCTGTGGCCCAGCTTGATGGAGGGAGTGGGCAGGTCAAACCGGTTCCCAGCTGGGGAAGGAGATGAAGTTGCAGGGGGTTCACCCAGGGCACCATTTCCCCTAAGGCCAGCCCTGTACACAATGGCATTGTTTGGTGAGGCAGAAGCAAAGCCATGCACCTCAGCTCCACAGTTAGACTCCTCCCTCCCAGAAAACAATTCCCTCATAATCTTACCAGCCAACATTCACTTCAATATGGGCATCCAAGATTGCGACAACATCGGCAGTAGACGCTTCCCAGCCAGAAATCCGAGCTTGTGTTAGGCCTTCTCTCTTCTGATGCCTCACAATTTTTAGCAATCCAGGATGTTTTGCATTATAATTTTTTATCTGTTCATCCAAATAGCCTTTTAGATCCTCTAAAAATAGTATGGCACATTTTAGCGTGTTTTTTTTTTCCAGTTCATGGAAATTGTTGAGATTGGGAAACAGAAAAGAGCAATTAGATAACAGCAATGAAGCTTCCATTACTTCTCTAGGGAGCCTATTCCTCAGCCTAAAATATCACTGTCAGGAAGTTTATCCCGATAATCAGTTTAAATGTTCACTTTGTTGGTTTCATCTCAGAGCTATTTCCCAGTACACCAAGTGGTATTGGGAACGGTACCCTTAAGTGGCTTAGCCTCAAAGACAGGCAGCTTACTGGGAGCAGGGTGCCGCAGAACCCATGTTCTGTTATGCAGAGGCAATTGGGAACTGTGTCACTGAATACAGAGGATCTCTTTCAAACGCTTTGGGTTCAGAGCAATTCCTGAACATCACATGGCCCCAGGAGTAAATAGAAATTAAAGAAAATAACCTGGGTGGAAGATTGGAGCAGTTAAAAGCTTCACCAGAGCTAAAACTCTCTGGGCACATGGAAGTCAATCAGAAGAGAATTAAGAAGCACTTCACTGTGCATTTGCAAGCAATGAAGGCCTGTGAAAAGGAAAATAGAATGTAGCCTTATTTCTGACAATAGCAGGTTGTGATGCACTTGATGCATTCAACGGTGTTCAGTTCAGGCACATGGGACCAGCTATGAAGGTGCAGTAAAGAAATTTGAGGAGTTCTGCACTCCATGTAAAAATGAGACCTAGGGGAAAGATGTTTTTAACCTGAGGGTACAAAAAGAAAGTAAAACTATAAAGAGCTTGCAACTGAACTAACGCTGAAGAGACAATCTTGCAATTTTGGAGGCAGAAGCTCCCACCTAAGCCTCTAACAAAAGACCTGATTGTGGTTGACATCTGGAACAAAAAACTCAGAGAGAGAGAGAGACTACTGGGAAACACAGAATTAAACCTTGACTAAGCAACTGGAATTTTGCAAGCAAAGGAAGTCACCCAGTCCAGAATGAGGATGGACAGTGCTCTGATACTGTGGACATGATAGAGAATCCAAAATACCACACTGTAATGTGGTGTTTCACCCCACACTTGTCCTGAAGGTTTAGGGGGGAGGGATAGCTCAGTGGTTTGAGCATTAGCCTGCTAAACCCAGGGTTGTGAGATCCATCCTTGAGGGGGCCACTTAGGGATCTGGGGCAAAAATCAGTACTTGGTCCTGCTGGTAAAGGCAGGGGGCTGGACTCAATGACCTTGCAAGGTCCCTTCCACTATTCTAGGAAATAGGATATCTCAATTTTTTTTTTTAAATGGAGGCCAGATAGGCCAGTTAACCTATTAAGTTTCAAGGTGAGGGAATTAAGGCTGAGAGGAAGGCCCTAGTTAGGGAAACATGACTTGTGCAGGAACAGGTGGGGCTTTCATATACCAGGGAACTGATAGCAGTAAAGGGCTGCAAGGAAGTAGTCTGCAGTCACTCCCTAGGAGAAGGGAGGTATATTTGGAGCTATAGAGTCAAGTAACCTATAGCTACTCCCTGGAAGGTGGGGCTGGCAAACCCAGGGAAAGAGGAAAAGCCAGAAAATAAGGAAAGGCTCAGGGAACAGGCAGTAATGTCCACGATGGAACAGTCCTTGGGTGCTGGCTAGAGGGTCCCTGGGCTGGAACCTGGAGCAGAGGGCAGGCCCGGGTACTGGGGAAATGTTATAAACCAGGCAGTGGAAAGCAGACTACCTGAAACAGTTCACTCTGGAAGAGTTTGATACCCTGGAAGGGGAAGACACATGTGACTTGAATGGAGGGCTAAGCCACGAAGACCAAGCATCTTGCCTCGCTGAGAGCAAGGAAGAGAAGGCAGTGAGCATGGCAAGAAGCAGAAAGGAGGCGTCAGACCTGGAATCAGCTTATCCCCAGAGCAGCCAGGAGGAGGCGCCACCTTTGGTGAGTGGACCCTGTGACACACACAAAAAGACACTTGAGGCAGAAAGACACATGGCACTCAGAGTCAGAGTCCAGCAAAAACAGCACATGGAGCTGCACATGCTGTGACAACCAGCAACAGCTAAAACAGTGCCCAGCATATGAGAAAAGAGGCAGGAACTGCAATAGATCACAAGAGTTTGCAAATGCCAGCAGATGGTGCATTGTGTGGACAAGGAGGACATTGACAGCACCACTAGCTCAGCTGAATTCTTCCTAGGAGTAATGGACAACATTGCAGCACAAGATTCTTGGCCTGCCAACCTGAAAGCAAATGGGACACTTATTAATTTTAAGTTGGATACTTTTGCACAAGCCATGTTGCCAGAAAGTGTTACTAGCACACACAAAAAAAGTCACAGGTATGAAAGATAAACAGGTAAAACACAGAAGTTCGCAGTGTTGTAGCCATGTCCAATCCAAGACATGAGAAATAAAGTAGGTAAGGTAATATTTTTTATTGGACCTACTCCTGTTTGTGGAAGGAATAAACTTTTGAGCTTGTAAAACACAGGTCTTACAATGGTGAACTGATCCTCACTAGCAGAATATACAAGCTTGATGTATAGGTAAATAAACTGGAAGAGATACAGTATGCAATATTACCAGGGGAAAAAAGAACCTGTTATTGGGTAAAAACATGTCAAAGCCTTGGTCCCATCAAGAGGGTGCACTCACTGGAGAGACGAGGGACCAAAACAATTAAGGCAGAGTTTGAGGATGCCTCCTAGGGGATAGGAAAGCTCTCAGCAGAGTACAGAATAGAACTGAAAGAGCCCAACCCATGCCACAATTCACACCCCTAGGAAACTTCTCATCACCCCACAGGCAGAGGCTAAAAAAGGAGCAGGGTAGGTTCATTGTTCTGGGGATCATAGAGCCAGCAGGGGCCACTGGAATGGGTACATTCGTTGGTAATGGTAGAGAAAAAGATGGACCCCTTCGCTTATGTATAGACCCAAAATAATTTTAAAATATATGTGAAAAGGGAACAGTTTCCACTACTTGCAAAGGGAGACTTTTTTGGAGAGATGGCTGTTGTCAAATATTCTTCTATGCTTGACGTGTCAGCAGAATTCTATCAGGTTCCCTTAGAAAAACAGAGCACGTGATGAGTGCAGTCAACACTCGCTTTGGCAGACACTATATCTGTAGAATGCTATTTGGTTTGTATTTGATACCTGGAAAATACAACTTTTTGATGGTCTACATAATACTAAGGTTTGCATACATGACATTTTGATCTGGTGGAGGGAAAGTTGGTGTAAGATCCATAAAGAGATTTAAACATTTAACTGCCACTTTAAATCCAAAATTTAGATCCTCCAAACCCCTGCTCAGATGTCACCTAAGCCTATAGGTTCCTAAATTCCCAAGGCTCCTAAGTTTCTGCAAGTGAAATCCCCAAGATGCCTACATTTCTGACAATGGACACTTGCAAAGCCACTCAAGTCCCGATGCCACTGAGCTGCTCAGCACCTAAATCCCAATGGGATCCTCAAAATGGGCATTCCTACATCTATCCTGCCTGCAAAGCCCAATCCAACAGGAGTTCTCAGAAGTTACCTACTACACAAACCTGAGAAGGATGTCCCCTTATATCCTATATCCTAATGGTTAGAGCACTCATTGGACTTAATTCAGGTCTCCCACCTCCCAGGAGAGTGCCCTAATGACTGGGCTATAGGGTATTCTGGGATAGATCTGTCTCAATCTCGCCTGTTGACGGTGTGTATAAAATACTTAAATATTAATTGGGCCAGGAAGAGAGTAACAATGACTCTATAGCCTAGTGGCTCGGTCACCCACCTGTGAGACCAGGATTCCAATGACTAAGAATTTCATACAAAAAGAAACAGCTTCAACAGGACTGACAGAGAGAGAGAGACCTACCTCAGAAAACAGACAAGGAAGGGATATAATGATTCCTTGGAACAGTGAACAACATAGGGAAATTTGTCCTTAATCTATCTGATCAAGCCAGCACACTGAGAACATTGTTGTGCATAGATGTCCAATGGACACAGGATGCAAATCTTAATAAAGAGTTTGAGAAACTGAAGGCATTCATTAAAGAGGCCCCAGTCCTGAGGTAATAGAACATAAGCACAAAACTAAGTTGTCCGCAGACACCTCCAAGGAGAGTAAGAGTACAGTCTTCCTACAGCAGTATGGTCAAAATTGGAGAGCAGTGGCTTGTGTGTCATGAGCACTTACAAAAACTGAGTATCAGTACACCCAAATAGAGAAAGAGGCTTTGACTTTAATCCATGAGTGTGAAACGTTTCATGTCTTTATTTATGGGACACAGGTGTTAGCTGAAACTGACCATATACCACTTATTGCCATTACCAAAAGGGGCCTGGCAAACAACTCCCTGAGAATACAGAGATTGCTTTTATCAGCTACAAATGTCTGATTTGTAAATTCAGTACAAAAGTGGGTGAGATTTGGTCTCTGCAGACACACACACTCTAGAGCATTTGACAGAAAAATGCAGCGGAGCAAGTCCAGAGCAAGACATTGTATAGGTCAGTCTGATTTAAAAAAACAACAACCCCGGCCAATCTCACATGAAATGTGGATTGTGATTGCCAGAGCTACTGCTCAGTATGAGACCCTACAGAAAATAGTTAAGGCTATTGGAACAGAATGGCTGGGACAACATGTTCCCAGTCCCTTTCACTGATTCAGGGGAAGTTTTCAGTCCCAGATAGGATTACGAAGCTGTTACAGAAAAATAAGTTTAAAAGGATACATGATGGTCTTTGAAGGATTGAAAAAATCTAAGAGAAGGGTGAGACACAATTTATACTGGCCTCAAATGAACAGCAATATTCAGGAATCTGTCAAGGCTTGTTGCATACGCCAAAAATACAGGCCAAGTCAAGCAAAAGAGCCATGTTGGTAGCACAAGAAAAACTAGCCCCCTGGAGCACAGTAAGCATAGATTTGTTTCTGTTGACTGGAAAAAAACTATGTATTTGTCCTAGATTATTTCTCTCACTTCCCAGAGAGATATTCCACTTACTGGAAGATATTACAGCTAAACAGGTGTTTGTCAGGCATTACTATATTAGATATACCATGTCTAGCAAAAATAGATTTGACAATGAGCTGCAGTTCAATGCGCATGAGTTTAGGTAATTTCCAGTGCAGTTTGGGTTTAGACATGTAAGGACAAGTCCTCGTTATCCCCAATCCAATGGGTTGGTGGAAAATGATGTTAAAATAATAAAACAGCTACTGAAAAAGGCTGCAGAGTCAGACTCAGTACTTTGCACTGTTAAAACATGGTTTGTCACCTGCAAGGAGCACCCAAAAGCAAATGAAGGTGTCATGGCAATCGGGGGAGGTCCCGGATGACTGGGAAAAGGCTAATGTAGTGCCCATCTTTAAAAAAGGGAAGAAGGAGGATCCAGGGAACTACAGGCCAGTCAACCTCACCTCAGTGCCTGGAAAAATCATGGAGCTGGTCCTCAAGGAATCAATTCTGAAGCACTTAGAGGAGAGGAAAGTGATCAGGAACAGTCAGAATGGATTCACCAAGGGCAAGTCATGCCTGACTAACCTAATTGCCTTCTATGAGGAGATAACTGGTTCTGTGGATGAGGGGAAAGCAGTGGATGTGTTATTACTTGACGTTAGCAAAGCTTTTGATACGGTCTCCCACAGTATTCTTGCCACCAAGTTAAAGAAGTATGGGCTGGATGAATGGACTATAAGGTGTATAGAAAGCTGGCTAGATTGTCGGGCTCAACGGGTAGTGATCAAGGGCTCCATGTCTAGTTGGCAGCCAGTTTCAAGTGGAGTGCCCCAAGGGTCGGTCCTGGGGCTGGTTTTGTTCAATATCTTCATTAATGATCTGGAAGATGGCGTGGACTACACTCTCAGCAAGTTTGCAAATGACACTAAACTGGGAGGAGTGGTAGATATGCTGGAGGGTAGGGATAGGATACAGAGGGACCTAGACAAATTAGAGGATTGGGCCAAAAGAAACCTGATGAGGTTCAACAAGGACAAGTGCAGAGTCCTGCACTTAGGATGGAAGAATCCCATGCACTGTTACAGACTAGGGACCGAATGGCTAGGAGGCAGTTCTGCAGAAAAGGACCTAGGGGTTGCAGTGGATGAGAAGCTGGATATGAGTCAACAGTGTGCCCTTGTTGCCAAAAAGGCTAATGGCATTTTGGGCTGTATAAGTAGGGGCATTGCCAGGAGATCGAGGGACGTGAGCATTCCCCTCTATTCAACATTGGTGAGGCCTCATCTGGAGTACTGTGTCCAGTTTTAGGCCCCACACTACAAGAAGGATGTGGAAAAATTGGAAAGAGTCCAGCGGAGGGCAACAAAAATGATTAGGGGGCTGAAGCACATGACTCATGAGGAGAGGCTGAGGGAACTGGGATTGTTTAGTCTGCAGAAGAGAAGAATGAGGGGGGATTTGATAGCTGCTTTCAACTACTTGAAAGGGGGTTCCAAAGAGGATGGATCTAGATTGTTCTCAATGGTACCTGTTGATAGAACAAGGAGTAATGGTCTCAAGTTGCAGTTGGGGAGGTTTAGGTTGGATATTAGGAAAATCTTTTTCACTAGGAGGGTGGTGAAGCACTGGAATGGGTTACCTAGGGACGTGGTGGAATCTCCTTCCTTAGAGGTTTTTAAGGTCAGGCTTGACAAAGCCCTGGCTGGGATGATTTAGTTGGGAATTGCCCCTGCTTTGAGCAGGGGGTTGGACTAGATGACCTCCTGAGGTCCCTTCCAACCTGATATTCTATGATTCTATGCCTTAACTGTGTCACTTACCATTTGAGCTGTAATCATCTACCAGGACAATTTCTTTCAGCAAATGAGAAGGCGTTCGGTTAATTATACTGGTAATTGCACGTAAGATGATCGACATTGCCTCATTGAAGAATATGAGAACGACACTAAGTGTCGGGAGGTCGTGGGGATATTTTTTCACTTTACAGCTGCAAGAGAGTGAGAAGAATATTAGCAGGATTCCTGAAAAGACCCAATAGAGAAGCAGCCAAGTGAAGGGAGCATCTTCATATTCAGGACAAAGCAGGAAATAGTTTGTTCTGAACACTGGCTACGCATGAAAAAGAGCATTGAGGGCCTGATTCTGTGTAAAGGAGCTTTCACATAACTGAGAACCAGGCCCTTGCCTTTGCAAAGATCTTGCCCCTCCACAGAAAGGCAAGTATTCTTTGCCAGAGGAAAATGTGAGTGTTTAAACACAGCCATGTGAATTTCAGTGAAATCTAAAAGGCTGATCTTATCTCTGTTGGAGTAGATTCAGAGTAATTCCATTTTACTTTAATTCTACATTTCTTCTTAAGTGATTGCACAAATCCCACTTAGGTATGCATGCGCCAGGTGGACTTGAGCGACAAGTTGGGATGAAGCATGGGCCCTGCACTTCCTCCTGCCTCCAACAAAGGGTATAAAGGGCAGAGTCATCTTGATCCTCCCACATTGCCTTCTCACCACTATTTTTCAGCTTTAAGGTTTCCTTAATATTGGATTTTAGCATGGAAGTTAAGGTAGCTCAATAGCCTCTTCTTATTTGTCTCCTTTCCACCAACAATTGTCTTAGGCAAAACATTTTCAAAGCTGGGTCCCTACAATTAGGGACACAAGAAGTCATTCTTCCGCTCTACTCTGCTCTGGTTAGGCCTCAGCTGGAGTATTGTGTCCAGTTCTGGGCGCCGCATTTTAAAAAAG